TGGTCCCTCCTGACAATATGTCTGAAGTATGAGAGACGAAGTTTGGCCATCCTGGCCTCCAAGGAGCACTCTGGCTGCACTTTTTCCAACACAGATCTGTTGGTTCTTTTGGCAGCCTATGGCACTTTCAATATTCTCCTCCAACACCATAACTCAAAAGATCAATTCTTCTATGGTCTTCCTTATTCACTGTTCCACTTTCACATGCATATGAGGTTATAGAAAATACCATGGCTTGGGTCAGGTGCACCTTAGTCTTCAAGCTGGCATCTTTGCTGTTCAACACTTTACAAAGGTCTTGTGCAGCAGATTTGCCTAATGCAGTATGTCTGATCTCTTGACTGCTGCTTCTGTGAGTGTTGATAGTTGATCTAAGAAGAATGAAGTCCTTGACAACATCAGTATTTGCTCATTGATAAGAATGTTGTTTATTGGTCCAGTGGTGAGGATTTTTGTTTTCTTTACATTGAGATGCAATCCATACCATACCAAAGGCTGTGCTCTTTAATCAGTCTTTGTTATCTTGCCTATATTTAAACTGTCAATAATCTGGCTCAGCTATATGAGTCTGGTTCAGTTAATTGTATGGAATGAAATTCCAAAGTGATCATTTTAGAATTATGTTTGGGGAATTTTTGTGTGCACACAAGCCAGTTTAAAAATGCAAAATATGAAGTACTGATATTCACTAGAGATCTATCAGTATAAAGATTACCTGCACTTTCACTGTATAGATGTTCTGGAAATGCCTACTATGGCATAGCCATAGTCCTTGTCCTGGATTCCTGGTGTGGCACTGTTGGATAAAACACTGATCTGCAAAGTCGGTTTAAGCCACAAGATCTGTGGTTCAAATTCACCGGCTGCTCCTTGGAAACCGTCACTATGAGTCGGAACCTACTCAACAGCATTTAACAACAACATCCCTTGTCCTAAACTCCTATTGTTGTTGTTGTTGTTGTTTTAAACTTTTTATAGTGAATTGAGTGGAGGTTTACAGAGCAGACCATCAGTTATATGTTCTTTGCCACACTGCGTTTCATCTCAATGATTACAATCCCCTCCCTGCAACAGCAGTTAGCCCACTTTCTTCCTGTGGCTCCTATTTCCATGTTATCTTCCTTCGTAACCCCTCTGAACCTTGTCCTTAGGTAAATGTTGCCTTTTTAATCTTGAATGGTTGACCATTCCATGGTGAGCAGACCTCGTTAGTGCGGGTGCACCCCCTCTTCTGAAAATTGGCTCATGTGGGGAGTTCTGTTCCAGACTTGAAAGGTGGGCAGAATGAAAGTAGTTCTTGAAACCTTGTTCCTGATTCTGGGCTCTCCAGAGTAGGGAGTGAGGGTGTTATTTGTTTTATTTTAAAATTCCTTTAATTGTAGAATAGGTCACATTTTACAGAAAAGCTGCTAATTTTATTCAAAATTGTTAAGGCTGGACTCTTGAATGGGTTATTTGTTAAGTGGTTTTACATACCTCCCTCAGAACTAGCTTGAATGCTTGCTTGCATTAAGTGGCTTGACCTGTGTATGAACTGGTTACGTTCGCCCTGTTATGTTTGAACACAGAAAAATGTTAGCTTTAAGCAACTTCACATCACACACCTGCTTCTACTGGAGGTGGAGGTGAAGGTGGGGGTGGGGAATATTTTCTCTCACCCACAGAGCCTTCTTGGTTATTGAACTTCTGTGCAGTATGTCAGATAGGGAAGACAATGGTGCAGAAAGTAGTTAGGCGTATGCACTAGATTGCCAGAGGTCTAGTCTGGGCCTTGCCGCTCACTGTCTGGCTTGGTAGGTTGTTAGACCTCCCTGTATCCCCGTTTCTTATCTGAGGATGAAATGATAGCTGCCCGGTGAGTGACTCAGTAGTTATTGTCAGTTGATAACCTAAAGGTCAGAGATTTGAGTCCTCCAGCTGCTCCTCAGAGACTGCTATCCTGAAGATTTAAATCCTTGGACACCCTGTGGGGCAGTTCTACCCTGTCCTATTAGGGGTCAGAACCTACTCCATGGCAGTGGATTAGGTTTTTGGTTTAGGAGCACTGTGAGGATTAGATGTGAAGTACATGGAGTACTGGTTGGTAGGTAATGTTAGTTAATATCCCATTTCAGGAATTGAAGTGACCCTGCATAGGGTTCCCAAGGGGGGCAGCTGGTGAGTTTGAGTTTAAGAGAGAGAATGGATCTGAAAGATATTAAGGAGATCTTGGTGACTGTATATGGATGGAAAGTTTGGTGAAATAGTGACCCCAAGTTTGAGATTTATGTATTTATTTTGTTCCCTCCTACATGATCATGCAGTGATTATGGGTTGTTCTTTAGCATGACTCCATTTGTCTTAAACTTTTTATATATTTTTTCTCTCTTCACCCAAGTTAACACCTGTCCACGCTCCCTCCCCTGGTAACTTTCAAATAATGTCTCTTATAATATGAAAACCTTTCTTTGACTTTTTTTTTTTTTTTTTGCAATAGTGATCTTATATAATATTTGTTTTTTGAGGCTGACTTGTTTAATGTAATGACCTGTAGGTTCATCCATGTTCTGAGATGTTTCTCAGATTCCACTGAGTGTCTGTGCCGAAGTTTGTTTATCCACTTTTCTGTTGATGGGTGTTTAAGGTTGTTTCCATCATTTTGTGGATGGGACAGTGCTACATTGAGCATGGTTGTGTGTTTGTCTATTTGTGTCAGGGTTCTTCAAACCTACCAGCCTTGCTCAGAAACCCAGACAGGGTCACTATGAGTTGGAACAGACTCGATGGCACACAACAAGTACAGCACATAGCAAGTAGAGGGATTGCTGGGTCAGATAGTAATTCTGTTAACAACTTTTTGAGGAAGTGCCAAGTGGTTGTACCATTTTATAGTCCCACCACAAGTGCGTGAAGGTTCTAGTCTCGCCACACCCTTGCCACCATTTGTTATTTTCAGATTTTGTTTTGAACTTTACTATTAATTCTGGGCTAGTGGCACTTAACAACAACAACAAGTGATATCGCATTGTTTTGATTTGTATCTCTTCAATGACTGATGATCGTGAGCATTTCTTTATTTGTTTGTTGGCTGCCTGAATGTTTTTTTTGGTAAAGTGTCTGTTCCTAACATCTGCCCATTTAAAAATTGTATTGTTTGTCTTTTTCTTGTTAAGGCATTGACATTTTCTATAAATTTTAGATTAATTCCCTGTCTTTTATATTATTGACTTTTTTTTTTTTTTTTTCCAGTAAGTGGGTTCTCCTTTTACTCTTTTGGGGAAATCTTTTGATGGGCATGGTATCTCATTTTTTGGAGGATGAGTCATCTAGTTTGTTTTCTGCTGCATGCATGCTTTCAGTTATGTTTCT